AGCCGGGCATGGTAGCGCGTGCCTGTAGTTCCAGCTACTTGGAAGACTGAGTAGGATCCCAGCAGGTTGAGGCTGCAATGGCCAGGAGCGTGCCACTGCACTCCAGTCTGGGCGACAGAGTGAGACTCCAACTCAAAAAAAAATAAAAATAAATGCTATTTTTGTAAAATATTTTTTAATCTTTTTAAAAGAATAACTATACAGGTCAGGTACGGTGGCTCACACCTGTAATCCTAGCACATGGGAGGCCAAAGCAAGAGGACTTCTTGAGCCTAGGCGTTTGAGACCAGACTAAGCAAAATAATGAGACCTTGTCTCTACAAAAAATAATAAAATTAGCCGTGTGAAGTGGTGTATACCTGTAGTCCCAGCAAGACAGAAGGATCGCCTGAGCCTAGGAGTTCAAGGCTGCGGTGAGCTGTGATCATGCCACTGCACTCCAGCCTGGGCAACAGAGTGAAACCCTAACTCAAACAAAATGAAACAAAAAATAAAATAAACTATGCAGTGAAAATGAACCTACCAAAAGAGCATTGTACTGGAATGGTCTCCCTGGTTACTTTTTATATAGCTTATATGTCATTGTAATGCTGCTCATGAAGCTCTGAAAATATTTAACTTCTTTCCATTGAAATTTGAGGGATCTGCCAGGCATTGTTGTGCACACCTGTCATCCCAACACTTTGGGAGGCTGAGGCAGAAGGATTGCTTGAGCCCAGGTGTTGGCGTTTACAGTGAGCTATGATTGTGCCACTGCACTCCATCTTGGGTGACAGAACCACATCCTGTTTCAAAAATGAAAAGGAAAGAAATGAAATTTGAGAGATCTGGGTGGCTTCAGAGGAGACAGATGATTATAAAGTAATGTGACTCAACAAATATAAGAGAGTTGATACATAAAGATGAATGATAGAGACTTCAAAATAATCACCTTTATTTTAATAATTCTGTTATTGATTAAGATATTTTTGGAACTTTTTCTCAGCGTTCTTTTCAAGCCTAAATCACATTCCTCTCTCCCTCTCTCTCTTTCCCTTATTTTCCTCTTGTCTCCCTGGGATATTCATTACAGCTTATATTTTCTTATGCCTCTATTTCCTCTTCTCTAAATGTTTATTTTGGTTTGTATTTCACAATAGGGACTTTCATCAAGTATCTGGTGATCTCTGGTTGATTGCATAAGTGTTATATAAAGCAATACAAGGTTAAGTGGAAAATCTTATGAGTTCCAAGATTAGGTGGGTCTTACCATAGGCAATTGAATAGATCTAATATTGTGGGCCCCAAATATTAGATCTATAGGTCATTTCTACTGTTTCAGACGTTTACCCCAGAAAGGATCCTACCGACTTCTGCCTAGAGGATAATTTTGGTAGCCAGAAATCAATGGGCTCCGTAGGGTCAGGTTGAGAGCTAGGAGACTGGCTTGCTGTTCAGAAGGCAGAATTTTACTTAATATCCCTATTTTCATTATGGCATTGCCCCCTGCCTTTAGCTGTGCCTTGAGTCCCAAGGACAAGTTCTGTCTGATTCATCCTTTCCAAAGAGTGATCTTTCCATCTTTCGTTTTCTGGGATTGGAAAGGGGCAACAACCTGGTCTCCTGGCCTAGTGGAGAATATCTGGGGTTTAACTGTTCCATATATTGACTTCCAATCTGTCTTCCTGTTCATAGCACTGCCATAGAGTCCTGCTTTCGGAATTACTTAGTCTTTTCCAGGCTCCAGGGCAAGAACTAGCTTGCCCTGTATTGAGTACCCCTTCTGCGGGCACCATCATCTTTCTCCATTATCCTCTGTTAGTTACCACTCATCCACTCTCTCTTACAAAATTTTGTTGACATGTCTCATTTATTATCATTTCTGCTTTTCTAAAACTTCTTTTGTTGACGTTTTAATGGAATTTGGAAGGAAATAGAGATAAACCTGTGTGCCCAAGCTGTGTACCAACCCACCACTTTTAACAGCAAGTCTACAGCACATTCTTTTTTTTTTTTTTTTTTTTGAGTTCGAGTCTCACTCTGTCACCCAGACTGGAGTGCAGTGGCCGCTCCCAGCCACCGCAGCCTCAACCTGCTGGGCTCCAGCAATCCTTCTGCCTCAGCCTTCCAAGTAGCTGGAATTACAGGCATGCGCTACCACGCCCGGCTGATTTTTTTTTATTTATTGTAGAGATGAGGTCTCGCTGCCCAGGCGGGTCTCGAACCCGCAGGCTCAGGCAATCCACTCACCTCAGCCTCCCAAAGGCGCGGGATTACAGGCTGAGCCACCGAGCCTGGTTTCATTCTTTAGAATATATTAAATTTTGACAAATCTCTGTTCTTCAAGGATGATTTTAGTTTGGAGAAGCTGTCAAAAGCCTGAGAAACGATTGGTCAAACTCTCTTTCCTAGGTCTGAAGCCTCCAACACTCACCGTAAACTATTATTTTTCTCTATCTTGGGAAACAAATAAGCTAAATAAATTGTGACTCTTGTCCATTGTAATGCAACAAAATAATCTATAATCTGTAAGCAACTTTCCTTAAAAGATAAAATGCATACGTTGCATCAAATAGAACATGCAGCATGTACAAAATTTCTGGAGGACAAAAATCTCTGCCCCAAAATCATGTTTACTTGCTATTTTATTTTTATATAGATTGCTCATTAAACCTACCTCAAATGGAAAGATAGGATTATAACTGGATGTTCTAACTGCCCAGTATTTCTTCCCCAGGGGAGATAATTAAGGGGATCGAAAACACCTCTTCCCTTTACAATCATCACATGATAACATGCTATTAGTTTGACTCAGAGTGCAAGCAAATATTTGTTTATTTCACCCCAAGAAAGTGTAAGTACATAACTGTTCAAACATTTGAAAAGAAAACCTAATCGCATCAGCAAAAGTCTGAAACCAGCCTACGAACTAGATGTTCTTCAGCATTGAGTTGGGAAAAGTATAAAGTGAATCGAAGACTAATTCTTTTAATCAGATTTTGTCTTTCTGGGTCACTAAAATCTGTCTCATTATTTATAATTAAAGAACCAAAATTGGTCTGGGCATGGTGGCTCATGCCTCTAATTCCAGCATTTTGTGAGGCCAAGGTGAGAAGATTGCTGGAGCCCAGGAGTTTGAGACCAGCCTGCATATATAGTGCTAGCTCATCTCTACAAAAATTTTTTTAAAAAATTAGCTGGACATGGTGGCACATGTCTGTAGTCCTAACTACTTGGGAGGCTGAAGAGGGAGCATCACTTGAGCCCAGGAGATTGAGGCTGCAGTGAGCCATGATTGTACCACTGTACTTCAGTCTGGGTGATAGAATGAGACCCTGACGAGAGAGAGAGAGAGAGAGAGAAAGAGAGAGAGAGAGAGAACAGAACAGAAAAAGAAAAAAGAACCAAAATTAGACTTAACCTGAAAAATGAGATTATTCTTGATTTTTGGACAAGGTCCTCAAACTGTCATTTACAGCCAGTGCTGGTAATCTTTAAAGGCCATTCATGGAAAATAAGGGTAACAAGATGATGATATTTTGTGTGGCTCAGAATGTCTTCAAAGCCAGACCCAGAATCACAGTTCTTTTTGAGTTCTGGTAGCATTGTTTTTAAAAATGTGCACAGTCTCCTGAGATGATTATTTATTTGTTTATTTTTCTGAGTTGGAGTCCCACTCCATTGCCCAGGCTGGAGAGCAGTGGCACACTCAGGCCACTCCAGGGTCGACCTGCTGTGTTCCGGCGACCCTTCTGCCTCAGCCTTCCAAGTAGCTGGAACTACAGGCGCGCGCTGGAACTTCCAAGTAGCTGGAAATACAGGCGCTAATTTTCAAAATTTATTATACAGATGAGGGCTTGCCAATTTGCCCAGGCTGATCTCGAACCCGTGGGCTCAGACAGCCCACTCGCTTCGGCTTCCCAAAGTGCTGGGATTACAGGCTGAGCCACAGAGCCCGGCGCAGATGGTTATTTCTCAGGTAGCACTTAGTTGGATATATATGTTTGGGTGAGTTTGATTTTTAAAGTCCTATTGCTTTCTCATGACCTCTTGTGTTCTAACGTGGAAATAGATGGCAAAACATTGTGGAAAAAGAGTTTGGAAAGTTGTTCACATAGCCTTCTTTATAATGTAAAACATTGATTTATAGTAATAAAAAATTTGCAGAGCCGGGCTCGGTGGCTCAGCCTGTAATCCCGCACCTTTGGGAGGCTGAGGTGAGTGGATTGCCTGAGCCCGCGGGTTCAAGACCCGCCTGGGCAACTTGGCGAGACCTCATCTCTACAATAAGTCAAAATGAGCCGGGCGTAGTAGTGCGCGCCTGTAGTTCCAGCTACTTGGAAGGCTGAGGCAGAAGGATTGCCGGACCCCAGCAGGTCGAGGCTGCGGTGGCCGGGAGCGGATACTGCACTCCAGTCTGGGTGACAGAGTGAGACTCCAACTCAAAAAAAAAAAAAAATTTGCAATAGTAACAAAAAAGTCTGGAAAACTAGCTGAGCAACATGGTGTCATGCAGTCTACCCATTAAGACAACAGGCACATGTGTCTCATCCACTTTTTGGAAAAGTATATAAAATAATTTTAAATGAAAAAGATGAATACAAAATAATGAATGCACCCAAAACAATTTCATGGAAATGAATGTTAGTAAAATATCATAGTTCATTTTAAGTTGTATGAAATGTTTCATTGGTTTTATATATATATATATATATATATATATATATATATATATATAGTTGCTCAAGTTTATAAGAAAATAAAAGAAGGTTCCTGTTTTGGAAACAGTGCTACTTCCCAGTTCTTCTGGAGCCAGTTCTTTAAACAATGCAATTTCATCATTTTCCTGTGACTTATTGCTAAGGAGAACAGTGTTTTCTCTTCAAGCATAAATAAATCCCTTTTAAAGTCAATAGATTAATGAAAACATCCTGCTTTCCACACAGCTCAGAGGGTGAAGTCCCTAAACAACTGAGGGAAGAAGGAAGTTAAAACATGTTAAATACTGGAGCTGACTGAACCTGGTCTGTCTAGTGGGCTGACTTGCCAGTCAACATGAAGGCTCTCCTAATCCTGGGGCTTGTCCTTCTTTCTGTCACAGTCCAGGGCAAGAAATGGGAAAGGTGTGCGCTGGCCAGAGAACTAAAAGCAAAAGGAATGGATAACTACGCAGGAGTCAGCCTAGCGGATTGTAAGTCTTCTCTCTTTCATAATTCCAGAGTTAGCGAAGTATGGAACAGATACTAGAGGAGAAGGAATAAATAATTCAAAATGTGCTGTGAGAAAAAGTTACTTTGTAATTTAGTCTATATTTGTTCATGTAACCACTGTACTTTTCAGATGGAATTCAAACATTTCTCCTCAATAACTATTTTTTAATAAATGAATGAATGGCTGAAATCACTGAATAATCTTTCTCAGAAAATTTCTCAGAAAATCTTAATTTTTTTCTAATAAAAAGCATTTTTTATCAGATCTGCTATGAATTTACAAAATCCACTCAAGAGCTCTGTTGATTTTTCTATTCTAGGCTGAATAGTGCCTGAAGGTTGGAAGCAAGGGAAGGATAAAAGCAATGGAACAAACAACTATTTTAATATTTTTAACAATAGGTTATATTGTTATTAGTATTATAGGTTATATTAGTATTACAAAATGACTTGCATTACAAAAGGATTATCTTCCAGGCCCACGCTAAGGTATTTAAGTGTTTTATAAGTTAAATACATCTTTATACTCATAAAGTAAGTCAGTAAAATAGAATTAGCTAAAATGAACTGATTTGGATATATAGTATAAATCATTTGGTGTTGCTGTTTATTACTAAAATTAAGTTCTTTTCAGGGATGTGTTTGTCCAAATGGGAGAGTGATTATAACACACGAGCCACAAACTACAACCCTGGAGACAAAAGCACTGATTATGGGATATTTCAGATCAATAGCCACTACTGGTGTGAGGATGGCAAAACTCCAAAATCAGTGAATGCCTGTGGAATACCCTGCAGTGGTAAGACAAGATGTATCTGAGTGATGACACAGGACCTATCTGGCTATACTTTAAGGAGAGAGATTCAGTGCAAATTAAAAAGCTTTGAAGGGTTCATCAGGAACCTAGAAAAACTCCATCTTAACTCTAGAAAATCATTATTATTCTTCCTATAATTCCCTGAGTAAGAAATTAAAGATCTGGTATCATAAAAGGTTGGTGTTTTTATAACACAAAAGTTTCCAAAATGACCTATTAATTTATTATAAATGGCCTTAATCATGCTTTGTCTAAAACAATGCCATTCCTCCCACTTATTTTGGAGAGGTTTAGGGATAATTTGGTTGTTTAGTCCTTTTTCAATTGTTTTAATTTTTATTATGAAATTTTCTAAGTATTTAGAAATTAGAGACATTAGTATAATAAACAGCCATAAGTCCATCATGCACTTTCAACAGTTAGCATTTTGCCACAGTCATTTCATATATATGGTTTTTTCTGAGAGATTTTTAGGTGAATTAGAAACACGACATTTTATTTCTAAATTATTTAGCTTGCATCTCCAAAAACGCAATTCCTATGTAATTATCATTATCACAACTAACAAATTAACATATGAATTTATTTGTGGTGAAACAAATTTTTTTGAACTCATATGAAAATAGAAATAAGATGTGGAATCTTTAGTGCAAAAAATATTGCATAAATGTTGCAAACTTGCTATTGTTACATCTTTCAATTTTAAAATTCCCAATATAGAAGATTAATCTTAGAATATTCTTTTTTAATCCAGTTAATATAGTAATCAGTGGTCATTAAATAAAAATTAGAAAATACAAATTAAAAAAAATAGCATCCAGGCCGGGCTCAGTGGCTCAGCCTGTAATCCCAGCACTTGGGAGACTGAGGCTAGTGAATTGCCTGAGACCACGGGTTCGAGATCAGCCTGTGCAACTTGGTGAGACCTCATCTCTACAACAAATTTTTAAAAATTAGCCAGGCATGCACGTGCCTGCAGTTCCGGCTACTTGGAAGGCTGAGGGGGAAGGATTGCCAGACCCACCAGGTCGACACTGGGGTGGCCGTGAGCATGCCACTGCACTCCAGCCTGGGTGACAGAGTGAGACTCAGACTCAAAAAAATATATATAGCATCCATAATCTTACTACCCAGAGACTTACAACCATGGGCAAATTTTGGCATATTATTCTAAAATGTATATCAATCATGTGTATGAGTATGAATGTGAAGTTTTATCATGCACATATGTAACCATACACAAACATGTAAACAATGTGTTTTTGCAAAAATTAAATTGTATTATATGTACTGTTACAATTTGCTTGTCACATAAAATTATTCCCATGTCAACAAATACAAATCTGTATCATCATTTTTAAAAAATGACTGGAATTCCAATATATGAATATTCTATAATTTATTGATCCAACTTTTACTATTAAGCACTTAGGTTGTTTCCATTTTCCCTTTTATAAATTGCTATGAATAGCTTTGTGCATATATCTTTGGGTACATTTCTTATTTTTTTTTATTTTTATTTTTTTACAATAAATTTTCAATAGTAGAATTGCTGAGGAAAAAATTACTAGACTTTTTTTTACAGTGTCTAGTATAAAGAGGAACTTTTAACATATTAGTTAGTAATTCCAGAGCTTTCACTGACCCTGGTAAATGAGAAACAGAATGTTTTATTTCATGCTGAATAGGATAGAAATAAGAGAGTGTTTTCCCCCAACAGTTACACTTATATGGACTCTTGGGAAACAATGTATTAGTATTCTTTCCTCAGCCTAATAGAATAAAGCTGATTAAACCTAACATTACATTTTATTTCTATAAACGTTGTTTTCTTTCCTTACTACCTCTCTTTCAGCTTTGCTGCAAGATGACATCACTCAGGCCGTGACTTGTGCAAAGAGGGTTGTCAGAGATCCACAAGGCATTAAAGCATGGTGAGTTTAACGCATTAAAAGGAAAACCTGTCTTACTCTACTGTTGACATATGCCGTGAGAGAAGACTTTCAAAGACCAAAGAGGCTATCGTGAACTGAAAATTGTAGCTTTTGGCTTATGCTATACAGTGCACACGTATTACCTAGATCCTTGAAGAAACAATCTACTTTGAGTCAGAGTCTTACTCTTTTACTCCTCAATTGATTTTAGAGGATTTCTAGAGTTTTTATGATTCTTTACACTCTACTATTTCCTTGTCATACTTTGAAAATTTTTTAAGAATAGGTAAATGTGAACTGCAATTTGAAGTTGCTGTTGTGCAGTGTGCATTACTCAACTTTTTTGTTTAACATTCTACACTCTACTGAGGGCTTCAGGGAAGAGTGAAGTACTTTGTATACATACCTCCATTTAGTAAATAGCAAAACCTAGGCCTATCTGTAGCCTGTATTTTATCTATTGATAAAATATTGTGTTTCCCCGAAGGGTGTATATATTACAATGAAGATGTTTTAATCTTTTCACTGTTTCTTCTTTTTTCTATAGGGTGGGATGGAAACGTCATTGTCAAAACAAAGATCTCAGAAGCTACATTCGGGGTTGTGGAGTGTAACTGCGGAATGTTCCTTCTTCAGCTCATTTCTTTCTCACATTAAGGGAGTAGCAGTTAAGTGAGAGGTCACACTACAATTGTTTCCCCTTCAGACAAATAATATTTTTACAGAAGCAGGAGCAAATATTCACCAATGTGGTTATTATTTTATATTAAGCTTACAACACTTTTCATTTTGCAAATAGAACTGGTTGCTAGTGAAAATTTATCTAAAACCTTGATTATCAAATACATCTCTATTACATTCAGTTATCAAATAAATAACCCACACTTAATCCTGAATGATACAAGTACTCCCCAATATTAGACAAAAATATGACAAAAGAGTTATTTCTTAAATTGATCTTAGGCAAAATCCCAGCTGTGTAGGCATCTGATGTCTTCATCTGTTGATGTCATCTCCAAAACCAGTAATAATAATAACCACTCTTTGTTGGACAATATAAAATGTTTAAAAGAGCAGAATACCAAATGGCTAAACATGGAGACTGCCTGAATTATGAATTTTGTTTTTAAAAAGTGTGTATCTTACTAAATTGCTGTTCCTTAATTTTATTAGCTTCAAGACTCACGCATTAGGACTAAATCTGAGGTAGATAAGCTTGCAAGTATTGTAATAATTACTAATTAACCACAGTGTGGAACTATGTTTGTTGTAAAAAATGCAAACATTCTCATTAAAGGCTTTGCAATGCATACCTTCACTGTTTTTATTTCAACCCATCTAGAGTTTCTGAAGAAAAAAAAAGTATGTATTTGAAAAAAAAAGATTTGGCACGCTTAATGTTTCTTGTATCTTCACCTGCACCTAAATAGCTGGATATTGCTGGAGAAAAATCCACAAGCATGCTAGCAGGTCTCACTGCTCCCTCTCACTACTCCAAGTTAGGCTGGGTATTTCCTGCATCCTGAGTTTCTCCCTCTTTTGCTGGATCACCTCCATCATTCTACAGTCTTCCCTGGTAATCTCCCACTTTACAAAGAATAGTTCACTGACCCTACACAGTTCTCCAATTACAACTTCATTGTCTGCTCCCTTTAAAGCAAGACTCTGAGAAAAGATATCTGTACTCACCAACTCCACCTACTCACCTCTCATTGTCTTTTCAACGCTAACTTGGCTTCTATTCTCAGCTAAAACTGCTCCCCCAGAATTTCTCTATGACTGCGTGGTGCCAATTCTAGTGATCATCTCTGTTCATCTCAGCACTATTTCACAAAGTGAACCCCTTCACACTTGTAGTGACTTCTTCTCCCTTGGCTTCTCCTATTTACATCCTACCTCACCAATGTTCCTTTTCAGTCCTTCTTGCTGGCTTTCTGTGCTACTTAATTTCTGAACGTAGGAGTGCCTCACGACTCAATCCTATAACCATTTGGTAAGCTACCTATTCGTCTCTTCTTGCCAGAATATAAATTCCAAAAGGACAGAGTTTTTTCCACTTTTAAAAACACTGACATAATCTCAATATTTCAAAAAAATTTGCAAGTACTGTACAAAGTTATTTTATTTTTTCCTGAACTGTTTGAGAGTAAATTGCAAACATGGCCCTGAATGTTTCAGTGTATAATTCCTTCAAAGACATTCTTCTACATAACCTCAAAACAATTATCCAAATCAGGAAATTAACACTGATACATTACTACCACCTAATCATCAGATTCCACTCAATTTCATCAATTGTCCCAATAAATCTTTTATTTAACACAAGGCTCATTCAGAACCATGTGTTATATTTGGTTGTTGTGATTTTTTTTTTCAATCTCCTTCAATCTAGACAATTTCCTCAGTTGTTTTTTCCTTGACTTTTATGACATTGATACTTTTGAAGACCACAAACTAGTTATGTTATAGAATGTCCCTAAGGCTTTTCTGGTGTTCTCTTGATTCTGTTAGATTATGCATCTTTGGCAGGAATACCACTGAAGTGATGCTTTTCTCACTGCATCCTTTTAGGTTGCATGCAGTTTTGAATTGTTCATTACTGATGATGTTCACTTGGATCACTTGATTATTAAGATGGTAATTGGGAGCCATCTCCACTGAGAAGTATTTGGGAGGGCTACTTTGAGACTATTGCTCAAGTTTTCAATTTATTCATTTATTTATTATATCAGTAATAAAACTCATGGCTTCTATTTCATTCAAGTTATACTTAGGTAGAATGCATTATTTATTTTGATGTTCACATTGTCCCAATTTGGCCAGTGAACCCCTTGCAAGCTGGCTTCTGTGTCTTTATGACATGTCCCCATCATTGAGAGCTTTTTTATTTTCTGGCACAAGATAGTCTAATACTTACCTTGTTCTTCCCTTGCTTCCAGAAATGGAATTGTCATTTTTCCAAGGAGCCCTGATTTTTCAAAGTGAATAATGGTATTTAGAAAATAAAATCTGGGCACTAGGGTGTTGCTGTTCCCAGTCCCAATCAGCGGACAGAGCTAGAAGATAGATGTATTTATACCATTTAAAAAAAATCTGTTTATATTGAAAATGATGAGTTCACACCAGTATTTCCAATTCCAATCTCACACCGTAGAGTCTAGTTTTCTTTTTTTCCTTGTTTTAGCTTCTTTCTCTAACAGTGAGAAACCTGGCATCCATTGTATTTAATATTCTTCAAATGTGTCCTTATACATTTATGTATTTGATGGATTTGCCTGTCTCCCCATTGCCACATCCTGGATGCCCTCCTCTCAGGCTTTGAAACCCCTCAGTGGACTGCTCCGTCCCCCTATACCTGGACACCCTCCTTACCATGTAGCCTCTCTGACATATCATGTTGAGCCACTGTCTTGATAGAAAGGAGGACAGAATTTTTTTTTTCTTTTGGGGACAAAGTCTCATTCTGCTGCCCAGGCTGAAATGCAATGGTGTGATCATAGCTCACTGTAACCTCCAACTCCTGGGCTCAAGCGACCCTCTTGTCTCAATATCCCAAGGAATTGGGACTACAATCCCATTCCCGGCTAATTTTTTGTTATTTGTAGAGACAGGGTCTCACTGTCGCCCAGGCCAGTCTCAAACCCCTAGGCACAAATAAGCTTCCCGCCTTGGCCTCTCAAAGTGCTATGCTTACAGGTGTGAGCCACTGAGACTGGCTACAGAAATTTTTGACTCGTTTCTCTTCTGTATTCCAAACACCTAACGACAGTAACTGGAACATGGTACACATTCAGTAAATATCAGTTGACTGAATAAATCTCTTGCTGATAATTTAGTATACCACCCCCAAAACTGAACATTCTTAGATTTTTCTTACTTTTCAAGGCCGTGTTATTCCATTACAACGGCATCTGGGATTCAAGTCATGTCTCATCTATGTAAATATAGCCCATAGACCAGCCATGGGAGGGCAGCAGAGGGCCACTACACTGGTGTGGCCTTAGGCATCAAGATTTTTGGACCATTCTGATGTGAATCAACTCAGAGAGAATATGAGTTGATTCATATCAGAATACACTGAGATGCAGAAATAATAGGTAAAAGTAGGGGAGAGAGACTTGAAGAATGACAGCTGAGAAGCAGAGTGTCAGGATAGCCCAACAACACAAGCTGACTGAGGAAAACTGCTACAAATTAGCAAAGGTCGACTGGTATATTTATATCAGTTGTTTTTAATATAATTAAACTCCCAAATCAAATTTCTACTCTTATTCTGGGAACAGAATAAAAATCAGTAGCAATGTTTGATCATTTTCAAAAGCTTGGTTTCTGTGTCACTTGAAATGCAGAGTGATATCCATGATATCCACTGAGCTCTTCATGTGGCACTAATTATAACTATGTCGTGAGCACATTTTTTGCACTTTCACTTAGTGAAATAATTTTTAAAATAATTTCTAAAAAGTTGCTAAATGGAATTACTAAAAATTATAATCAGTGATGACTTTCTACTATTTTAGGTTAACATGAATACTTTTATATTTACCTCCATGCTTTTAAATATTAGGCTTATTTTGCTGCTTGTTTATTTTTCCATTTTAGGATGCTGACTTTCCACTATGGAAGTTAAGGATTAAATTCTATGTCCTCCTTTCCCATTCCCCACCACACATAGCAAAGTCCATCCTTCCAAATCTAATTATATATATAGTCTAATTAGATATGTGATATATATGTATATATACATATCATTTTGTGTCAGGGTCTCAGCCTCCCAAGTAGCTAGGACAACAGGCACACACCACCACATACAGCTAATTTTTTTTTATTTTTTGTAGAGACAAGATCTTGTTATGTTGCCCAGGCTGGTTTCCAACTCCTGAGCTCAAGCAATCAATTCTTCCATCTCAGCCTTCCAAATTGCTGGGATTACAGTCATGAGCCAAGATGCCTGCCTAATTATATTACTTTTTTGGTTAAACCAATACTCAGTATTTAGGTAGCCATAAATACAGTTGCTTTCTTTTCTTGTCACAAGAAACTATTAACTCTCACTAGAGTTAATAGCCACATGATTCTGAAATCTGCTTAGTTTTCTGTGTATCTGTCATTAGTTCAACTCCCAAACTCTAGTTTTAATATCTAAATCTCCTCTCCTGGATTGCTTGAGTCCAGGAGTTGGAGACCTGTCTGGGTAACATAGTGATACCTCAGCTTTACCAAATAAAAAATAATCATAAAATAAATAAAATTAGACAGGCGTGATGGCGCATCTCTGTAGTCCCAGCTACTCAGGAGGCTGAGGTGGAAGGATCCCCTGAGCCCAAGATGAAGCTGCAGGGAGCTGTGATCGTGCACTTGAACTCCATCCTGGGCAACATTGCGATCTCCAATCAATTTTCTCTGGAGTCTTCAAATGCAGCTGGAATTTTGTCGATCCCACCTTTCTGAAGCAGTATCTCCCAAAGACTTCTAATGGACTCTAACCCAGATGGTTGCTATATGCCTGTACACAGTTGTCATCCTGGACTCTTTCTTTCAGCATCATCTTGGAAGTCTAGTATTTTCTATAGTTGATACTTATTGTGTTTGCTGTAGTCCATAATGTCCTCCTTTTTGGCTTAGTCCTTAATTTTGGTGTATCACATCTCCAGATCTCCTTGGAGATCCTGAGAAAAGGATGAGTGATAGGTCCTTTTTTCTCTCTCTCTAAGATTTACCATGCCTGAAACTGTCTTTATTCTATGCACACACTTGGTTGATAGTTGACTGAGTACTGAAGACTAAACTGGAAATAATTTTTCTCCAGAACTTTTAAGATAGCACTTCACTGCCCCCTAGATTCCAGCTGCTATTCCGCAATCCGAAGCCACCCTGATTCAAGTCATTCTGGAAGTGTGTGGGATCTCTTTATCCTCGATGTTCTGAAAAATTCACAACAACATGCCTTGACGTGCATGTTTTCACGCTCGTATTGGGTGCTTGGTAGATCTTTCGGTGTGTAAACTCATATCTTCAAGTTCTGGAAAACTTTCTGAAATCTTTCCCCGATTACTTTTTTGCTTCCATCTTCTTTGTCCTCTTCGGAACTCGCCAGCAGGTCCTTCCAGGTGACGTTAGCGGTCAGGCGCGTGCGCAGTGTGAGCGGCGAGCGGCGTGCGCGGCGTACGCGCACGGGAGCCGGCTGCGTCTGCGCACGGCGTCGCCGTCGCCCCGCCTCTTGCTCCGCTCACCTGGTGCGCGGGGCTGAATGGCCTGCAGGGTCGCTGCCCGCCCGGGAGGAGTCGGCGGTTTCTCAGCGCCGCGGACCCGGGTAACTCGCCCTCCCTCGGCCAGAAACTCTCCGCCTGGGGCCGCGCGGGAGGAGCGGCGCCTCTGAGCGGAGCGGCGACCCCGCCGGCCCCGGTCTCTTTCCCTGGCGGCGGCGGCGGCTTCTTCGGTGGGACAATATGTTCAAGAGAATGGCCGAATTTGGGCCTGACTCCGGCGGGAGAGTGAAGGTCAGTGCCCGGCCCGCGCCGCCCTTCCGGGGTGGCTCTCCCGCCTCGGCTCCTCCCCGCTTGGTTTCCTTTCGCGCCTTCTCTCCTCGGGTTTGAACCGTGGTCTCGAGGCGGAGAGGGCGTCGGCCGTGAAGTGAAACATCAGTGTTGATTGGGCCCCAGCTTCGCCGCGTCACTGCCGCCCTCCCACCCCCGCCAAAAACAAACATAACCGTCGGTGGCCCGGGGAGACCTGGTCCCTGCCTGCAGAGGAGACGGGGCGGGGAAAGCTTGGCTTGGTGCGTAGGAGCTCCCAGCCCAGGTCATCGGTTGTGGTGTACCTATCTCAGAACTGAGCACGGATGTCGCAGACACGCCATCGGCTTGTGTTACCATCTTCAGCCATCCGAGTGCCGCTTTACCGTTTTGCCGTGTCCGATTCTAACCGTAATATTTATTGTAACACACTTAAGTCAGTTGTTTAAAGCTCCTTCCTAAATATTAATATTTTTGAAGGCGTGCCTTTAAATTTCCAGTTGCAGTGTGACTTTTCTAATACTGGTCAAAGTGAACACATAGGAAAATAAAATGAAAAATGTCTGCCCTTATTCTACCTCTCACACACTGTCTCCGATGTTTGTACTTACGCTCTCGGAAACACTGCAATAAGCGGCTTCATGAAGACATTACCATCAGGTGATGCCAGTCAAAATAGGCAGTTTTCATTCGTGTCTAATTTTAAGGGTTTGAGTCAGAGTCTCACTCTGTCGCCCAGGCTGCAGTGGCACGCTCACGGCCACTGCGTCCTCGACCTGCTGGGCTCAGGCGAGCCTTCCGCCTCAGCCGAGCCTTCCGCCTCAGCCTTTCCAAGTACCTGGAACTACAGATGCGTACCACCGCGCCAGGCTAATATTTTTTCTTTCTTTCTTTCTTTCTTTTTTTTTTTTGGAGAGACGAGGCCTATGCCAGGTTGCCCAGGCTGGTCTCGAACCCCTGGGCTCAGGCTCTCCTGTCGCCTACCCCTCCCAAAGTGCTGGGAATCCAGGCGTGAGCCACTGTGCCCGGCTAGGTTTTGAAGTAAAGGGCCTTTTGCTTTTCTTTTAACAAAACTCTCCAAGTGCTTCGTTTTTACATGGTGATTTAAAGTGGGAAATCTTGTCGTTTATCTGGTGTTCAGTAATTTGTGTTAATACGAAATTGGGATAAGTGTCTGAAATTGATCTGAGAGAAATCCATGTTATAACCAAAGTCTAGATTGTTAGACTGCCATTCCTTTAAGTGTTCTGAGCTCTCATTCCGTTTGTTTAGGCAATGGTACAATATTTATTGGTTTTTAAATTATTTTTCTTTTAGGGGGTTACTATCGTTAAACCAATCGTTTATGGTAATGTTGCTCGATATTTTGGAAAGAAAAGAGAAGAAGATGGGCACACCCATCAGTGGACAGTATATGTAAAGCCATATAGAAACGAGGTAGGTGCTTGTGTTTTTTATAACTGTTTTTGAAGCTACAATTTGTTTTGCTCGATGATAAGTTATAATATTTTTAATAGTAGTTTTCATAAAATTGGCTCATTGTAGAAATGTTGCCAATTTTTTTGAAAGAATAAAGTGAGACCTGTTATTTCATATAATTATTAATAGAAATCAAGTGTCCAAAAATGTTTTCTAGTTAAAATTAAGGTAACAAGAACTATCATACTATAAAATAGTACAAGTACATGCTCCTAACATCATATCTTAACATAGTATTTAAGCAGGTGTGTCGGGAATAGCAACTAATACTTAAAATGATAATGTGGTAATAAGACCATCAGAGAATGTGAAAAACAACTCTGCTGTATAATCTAATTGCTGGTAATTTTGTTATTTTGCTGAATCTTCAGTGCCTAGAACACATCAGTCCATAGTAGGTCTAACCCTTCAAAGTTCACACAAAAATGTACTTATGAATGTTCATAGCAGCATTATTTGCAGTAGCCAAAACAAACAATCCACATCTATCAACTGATGAATGGATAAATAAAATATGATATATCCATATGATTGAATATTATTAGGTAATAGAAAGAAAGTACTTGTGTGTGCTCCCACATGGATGAAACTTGGAAGCATTATGCTAAGGGAAAGAAGCCAAACATGGACAACCACGTCTTACGTGATTCCATTTATATGAAACATTTAGAATAAGCAAAATAGATTACTGGTTGCCAGTGGGTAGAGGAAAAGGGAATTGGAAGTGAGTGCTAATGGGTGTGGGATTTCTTTGTGTGATAAAAGTTTCTAAACTTTTGTTTTGCTTGTTTTTGATTGTGGTGCTTCTTTTTTTTTTGAGTTGGAGTCTCACTCTGTCACCCAGACTAGAGTGGAGTGCCACTCCCGGTCACCGCAGCCTCGACCTGCTGGGCTCTGGCGATCCTCCCGCCTCAACCTTCCAAGTAGCTGGAACTACAGGCCCGCGCTACCACACCCAGCTAATTTTTTTGATTTATTGTAGAGATGAGGTCTCACCAAGTTGCCCAGGCGGGTCTTGAACTCACGGGCTCAGGCAATCCACTCACCTCAGCCTCCCAAAGCGGGGGATTACAGGCTGAGCCACCGAGCCCAAATAAGAACATTCTTTTTGTTTGAGTTGGGGTCTCACTCTGTTGCTCAGGCTGGAGTGCAGTGGCACAATTATGGCCCACCCCAACCTCGACCCCCTGGGCTCAGGCAGTCCTTCTGCCTCAACCTCCTGAGTAGCTGGGACTGCAGGAGTATGCCACCATGCCTAACTAATTTTTATTTGTTGTAGAGACAAGGTCTCACTGTGTTTCCTAGGCTGGTCTCGAATTCCTGGGCTCAAGCAATCCTCTTGCCTCAGCCTCCCAAAGTCCTGAGATTATAGTCATGAGCCATCGTGCCTGACCTCTAGAAAAATATTCTTAAACCTCTTTACTCATTCTTTCCCACCCACTTTATATTCCTGTTGATCCTTAAGTCTTAAAGTGTCATTTTCTTTGGAACTACTTTTTTGGCTTCCAAATATTATTTAACTGTCTCTCCTCTATGGACTTGTACCTAGTGCCCTCATAGTACATTGAATGCTGATTTTATCAACTGTCCCCTACTCCACAGTGAGTGGAGGCCGTATTTTATTTACCATTGTATACTTAGCATCTGGTGCTGCAATATTGCTAGTCAGTCAAATATTTGTAGATGGGTATGGCATAGTGGCTCACGCCTGTAATCTCAGAACTGGGAGGCCCTGGATGGGTGGGAGGATTACTTGAGTCCAGGAGTTTGAGACCAGCCTGGACAACATAGCAATAACTCATCTTACCAAAAAAAAAAAAAAAAAAATTAGCCAGGCTTGGTGATGTGGACCTATAAAAGCAGGATTGCCTGAGCCCAGAAAGTCAAGGCTTCTGTGAGCCGTGACCATGCAACTGCACTGCAACCTGAGTAACAGCCTCTGACTCAGAAAAATTTCTTTTTTGTAAAAGAAATAAAGTATTTTCAAAAGAGTTCAGTGATGCTTTTGAAAATCTGCCTCAGAAAAATCCTCACAGTATAATAAATGGCAAAAGCAAAGTACTAAGATATCATTACAATATAATCTGTTTTTTTAAAAAAATAAGTATATGTAGATACAAGCACATAAATTCTGAAAGCAAATAAAAAAGTTAATAAGCATCACTATTGAGTGTGACTTACTCATTTTGCATTTTTTATTTTTCAATAGTGGATTATATCTTTAAAAAGCCACTTTCACCAGCAGAAACCCTTTTATGTGCTGAAACTAATGAGTATACTGTGCTTTAAAATGAGATGGTTTTATAGATTATAGTTATAGATTGCTTTATATTATTAGTTGTCCTTAGATTTATGTAATACAATTTTGCTCTTTGAAGTTGATTTAAGGTTTGCTTTAGCCTATATGGTTATTTCTTTGAAAATACCAGAAATGTACTACTGTTTTTATGTAAAAATCAAAATTGATTTAGAGTATTGTCTATAGAGATATATAAAAAAGGATTTGCAAAACAAGTTATTTAGGAACATATATATTCCTACATATTATGAATTGTAAAATAATTCAGCACAGGCTTCCCTGTTGTTTGTTTTTTAAAAAAACAAAATCACTTCCTAGGTATTATTCATGGGTTTTTTTTTTTAGAAAATTAGATTCCATAAATTTGAGAGGAAATGTGTTTTATAAAATTAGATGTATATATTTAATGTATTTCTTTTCTAGTTTTTGTATGTAGATTGTAAAGCTAATTCTTTATATTTTAGGATATGTCAGCATATGTGAAGAAAATCCAGTTTAAATTACATGAAAGCTATGGCAATCCTCTAAGAGGTATGATATAGTCTTTTGATTCACAGTATACAACGTTAAGAAGAGGAAACTAAGCCGGGCTCGGTGGCTCAGCCTGTAATCCCGTGCCTTGGGAGGCTGAGGTGAGTGGATAGCCTGAGCCCGCGGGTTTGAGACCTGCCTGGGCAACTTGGTGAGACCTCATCTCTACAGTAAATCAAAAAATTAGCCGGGTGTGGTAGTGCGCGCCTGTAGTTCCAGCTACTTGGAAGGCTGAGGCGGAAGGATCACCGGAGCCCAGGAGGTCGAGGCTGCGGTGGCCAGGAGCGTGCCACCGTACTCCAGTCTGGGTGACAGAGTGAGACTCCAACTCAAAAAAAAAAAGAAAAGGAAACTAAACCAGTAATTCACATTTTTTTTTTCCTCTTCAGTTGTTACAAAGCCTCCATATGAGATTACTGAAACAGGATGGGGTGAATTTGAAATAATCATCAAGATATTTTTTATTGACCCTAATGAAAGACCCGTGAGTAACATTCATCTTTGCAAATATAAAATAGTTTTTTTTTTTAGTAAATGTGAAAATATAATAATACTTAATATATAGCTAATGTTTATTCACATGTACTTTATGTAAGCCTATTGCATGGTATATTTTGCTATGTGTTAAGTTTTTTCATTTTTAAGTGAAGTGCCTTTCAAAACCTTTTTTTTAAGTATGAAAAGAAGGTATATAATATGAACAAATATTGGAAAGAAACTGGAAATCAGATGATTACTGCAGCCAAAAAAAATTTTTTTAATTCATTAGTATCATTTGGTTGTTAGCATTAAATAAGTTGAGCTGACCTGGCACGGTGGCTCACACCTATAATCCCAGCACTTGGGAGGCTGACATGAAAGAATCGCCTGAGCCCATGAATTTGAGACCAATCTGGGCAACTTGGTGAGACCTCATTTCTACAGTAAATAAAAAAATTAACGGGGTTTAGTGGCGCACGCCTGTAGTCCCAGCTACTTGGAAGGCTAAAGTGGAAGGATCGCCTAAGCCCAGAGCGTGCCACTACACTCCAGCCTGGGCAACAGAGTGAGACTCTGATTTTTTAAAAAAAAAAAAAGTTGAGTCTGTGTGCTGTCTGAAATGGGAACATACAGTTTTTTGTAGTTAACCCCTTAGCAACATTCCTTTTGCTCTTTTAAGCTGCCATCAGTACAAGCAGCTTTATTTTTATAAAATAATCTTTTTCATTAATCTTTTTTCCATAACCACTGACTTTTTCATCTTTTGATCTCCTCTTATCAGATTGTTGCTTGATAATATAAAAAATCTCTTCAGGTTTTCTCTGATCCTTCAGCAACTTTGTGAGGTTGGTCATATTCTCATTTTAGAGATGAGGGCACTGTCTCAGAGGTCAAGTCACATGCTTAGAAATTCTCAGTTATTTGTGACAGAGCTAGATTTTGAACCCAGATATTTTGCATTGAGACCTAACACTCTTTCTAGTATTTTTTTCTTTTGACTAAACCATTTAAGCCTTTTTTTTAATCTATAGGATCAAAACTTCATTATGACTCTCATTCCGCATGTGTGGGTGGGGTTTAATTCCAACTTCAGAGCTTTAACTTTCATCACCACTAGTTTGATCTTGTTAGAATCAGTTCATTCTTTCACCACCATTTACGCTTTAGTTATCAGATTATATTTTTTTAAACTGTATATGTGTTTTTAGAGGCATTGAATACCACCTGGTCCAGTCATTCAGTGAGCCAGTTTCTAACTGGCTGCATCAAAAACACCTGAGGTGTTTTTTAAAAATTCAAACTCCTAGGCCTCACCTTCTGGAGAGTCTGATTCAGCAGGCTTGGAGTGGGACCAGCACCCCAGGTGATTTTGATACACAGTGAGATTTGGGACCCATAGATGTAGCCATACTCCCTATGTAGGAATTTATTTAGGCAATCTCTCAGATGAGAATCTAGTTTGGGCTTGAATGTCTATACTGTGGAGGATTAATTTCTGTTATTAAGTGAAACATTATTTTCAGGTTTGGGGTAGTTTCGGTTTTAAGAAAACTCCTTGAACTTTTTACTGATAGCTGTTCATACATTAGTTTTCTCCTGAATAAACATCCATAGCTCATTTCATTATTTTTCATGTGATAGAGTTTTTAGACAACCATTCTTCTTGTCTTTCTGGAACACTCTCACAGACATTATATTTCGTTTGGCAAGAAATTATTAAATATCCATTATTTGCAAGATAGTGTTTAAGAATTGAGAAAGATAAAAGATGAGACACTGTTCCTGACCTTCATGAGGAATAGTCTATCAGGGAGAATAGAGCACAACATTCAGCAGGTGTTGAGTGAAAAAGAGAAGTCCATGATGTTACTAAAGTAGAGACTTTTTTTAACTTTGGGTGCGATTGCTCTGCTTTCATTTTTATTTTGAGAATATGCTTTCTTTCCTCTCTGTCTCCTCATCTGTCACCCCATCCCCACAACCTATATAGGATATAGGTTATATCCTATAACCTCATTGTGAGGCAGCTCTCAAAGTCACTATTGCACTTTTGTAGTGATTTACATGTTGAGTAGATTCCCATAGAGAACTACAGAGGGCTGAATTTTGTTCCTTAAAAATTATGATAATGTTCTTTTAGTATAAGGAAACTATTATACTTTTTCAGTAGTTGGCTCTTACAGAAAATAGTCATATGAAGTTTTTTGTTTTTTTGAGTCTCACTCTGTTGCCCAGGCTGGAGTGCAGTGGCTCACTCATGGTCACCGCAACCTTGACCTGCTGGGCTTAGGCAATCCTTTTGCCTCAACCTTTCAAGTAGCTGGAACTACAGGCATGCACCACCACACCTGGCTAATTTTTTTGTGTGATTTATTGTAGAGACAAGATCTCACCAAGTTGCCCAGACTGGTCTTGAACCCCTGGACTAAGGCAGTCCTCTCGCCTCAGCCTCCCAAAGTGCTGGGATTAAAGGCTGAGCCGGCCGGGCTTGGTGGCTCAACCTGTAATCCCGCGCCTTTGGGAGGCTGAGGTGAGTGGAT